GGTGGAAGCCCAGGATTACTTGTGGGTTTGTTACAAAATACTCAGGCCTCTCCCCAGACCTGCCATCTTAGAGTGTTGGGCTTGGGCTCAGGAATCACTTACTTAATAAGCCCCACAGGAAAGGCTGATGCACAGCCATGTGAGAATCCTGCTTTATGTGCTTGCTGCTCAATGTATGATCTGAAGACCAGCAATAGCAGCAACAACCTTGTTATAAACCCAGAACCTCACGCTTTAGTCCAGACTGTCTAGATGTTTCTAAGACCAGGAAATTCCTATGCACACTAAAGTCTGGGCCTCCTGATCTACATGACGCAGAACCATAACGTGCAGTATGCTCTGGGTGTGCTCTGATCAGCTTGCTTAGCACTGAGGAGTCCAGGATTTGGTCCTGTTCCTTTCTCTTCTATGGCCATCGCCCCCTTGGTGCTCTCATCTATGCTGAAGGCTTTAAACATCATTTATGTGGTGTCACCTCCTACATGTATCTCTCCAACCTAGATATTTCTCCCACCCTGTACTCTGTATCCAGCTTCTAACTTCAAGTGCATTTCTAATAATCTCAGATTTGACATTTCTAAATTGGATGCCTATGATGCAGCTTCCCTAAATGTCCTACTTCCAGAGTCCTCCCTGTTTCCATATAAGGCACTCCTCATTTCTACCTGCAGTCTGAAGTATTGGATGGCATCCTTGATTCCTCCTTCTCCCAACCTAGAATTAATACATTAGGAAATGCTGTAAAGTCCATCTTTAAGTGTATCCAGAATACACACACACACACACACACACACACACACTAAGTAGAATGCAGTCACTAGCTATTATTTTCCCTCCTCATACCTCAGATGTAAAACTGTCATCCCCCTCCTGGAACACTGCGCTAGCTTCCCACAGTTGTCCTACTGGTCACTTGCCCTTCACCTCTCAATTCTGCACAGCAGCAAACAGATGCTGCTAAAGAGAAGTAGTACCCAGCGGATCATCTGTTCTAAACCATCTGGTGACTCACATCTCAGAAAACCGAACCCTTCTAATCCTCAGGCATAAACATCTGACCACATTTCACATGCTCTCTGCTCCAGCCACAGCGGCCTCTCACTCTTCCTTGAACACAGGACACACTCCTGACCTAGTGCATGTGCACTGGAGGTCCCCCTGCGTGGAAAGAACTCCTTGAGACATGCTCTTCAACAATTCCTTATGTCCTGCACATCTCTCCTGAGGTCACTTTCCCAGTGAGGCTCCCTCTGATAGGCTTTACCCAGTGAGGATTTACTCTGATAGTAAATTGGCCACCTTTCCCATCCCAGCACAGGTAACTCTCTGGGTCACCTTCCTCAAAGCACCAACCAGCCTCTGATTTGTGTGTGTGTGTGTGTGTGTGTGTATAGTTTATTTTTAATTAATTAATTAATTTTTAATTTACATCCAGGTTAGGTAGCATATAGTACAACGGTGATTTCAGAAGTAGATTCCTTAATGTCCTTTACCCATTTAGCCCATCCCCCCTTCACAAACCATCTAGCAACCCTCTGTTCTCTACATTTAAGAGACTCTTATGTTTTGTCCCCCTCCCTGTTTTTATATTATTTTTTGCTTCCTTTCCTTTATGTTCACCTGTTTTCTACCTTAAATTCCTCATATCAGTTAAGTCATGATATTTGTGTTTCTCTGACTGACTAATTTCACTTAGCATAATACCCTCCAGTTCCCTCGACATAGTTGCAGATGGCAAGGTTTCATTCTTTTTGGTTGCCGAGTAATACTCCATT